AAAAAAAATCATGGGTTAAGGGGTTATGACCAGTGATGGTTTTTTCCTATCTGAATAACGCTAGCTATTCGCAGCGCCTGTACAGCATTGCTGCTCAGATGCTGAATCGTAGCGGTTGCCGCACGCGCACACACTTCGTTTGTACCACACAGAGCATATACGTTCGCGTTCTTTCTCTGTTCGACATGCGTTTGTATACTGACTATGGTATTAGTGTATCATACTCTGTTAGCTCACTGGTTACTTAGACTATATGACAATATGTTGTGTGGTACAAAATGCGTGCGGCAACCGCTTCGATTCAGCATCTGGGCAGCAATGCTGTTCAGACGCTGCGAATAGCTAGCGCTATTCAGATAGGAAAAAACCATCACTGGTTATGACACAAAAAATTTCTCTCATCATTCTGAACAACTTTGTAGAACATAATTTTTTGATCCGATAAGTTGGTAAAACTTATTCAACTGATAGTCTCTTTTGCAAAATATACCTCAGAGATGTCAAAAATGGTAAATTTAATTCGTTGTTGGTTGATTTTATATTAAATCTACCAAAATTGAATTAAAAATACCACATTTTTTCTCTCTGTATATATTATCCACCAAACTTGAAAACTAGAAAAACAGTAGTAAAATATATATAATATACCGAATTCAAAGTGACAGAATTTTTATTTGTTTACTTACCACTTGTTGAAGTAGTTCTGATACGATTTCTAGGTGCACCGAGTAGAACTTTTGGTGGGCGTTTCCATGCACCGGGTTGCGGAATAACTGGACTTACAATCTTATCCTTTGAGTCGAAGCGTCTTAACTTTTTTATTGTACTTCCATTTCCTATAGCAATAAAACTGCTCATACCGCCAGTTTCACTAAATTTCCTTTTCCGAGTGGTAGCACTACCCGTATTCGACTCAAGTTTACACTTTTCATCATTGAACGTCGAATTTGATGGTACTTCATATCCCGAATGTACAATATTTTCCAAACACACAGTTGGTATATCAATAATTTGTGGCGAGGCTGTTATTTGTGCAGAATCTAAAGCACACACATCTTCACTCTCATTTTTTTTTACTATTTGTAAAATATCTGTACCATATTTTTTTATTTTTTTCTTTCTACTGCGTTGCTTATTCAGTCGACGTGCCTTGAGTGGCGAGACTAATTGTTTTTCATATTCAACTGAATCAACTGGATCAAGTAAATGTAGAGGATCATAAATATTTGGAGGAATAATCACTTCTACCTTTGGTGGAGTAGTAATTGGAGATGATTTTGGTGTCACAGCACTCATAGATACTAATGCTTCATCCTGCAGACTGTTTAAATTTAACGGGTCAGAAATGTTACCACCAAGCAAAAATTTTGTTGGAGGAACAATCATATCTTTTCGTGGTCTTTTATCCGGTAGGAAAAATTTTGAAACTCCGCCACCTCTATGCATTACTTGTTTGTTATTAAAAATAATTTTCGGAACCTTTGCATAGAGATGTTTATTTCGATTACATTGTAGTACATTTTCAGCTTCCGATTTTGTGGTGTTGGTTGACTTTTGACGTTTAAATGACTTGTTCCATTTTTTATTTTTATTTAAATTGTAATGACGCTTACGTTTTTTTGATTTTCGAGCATTTAGAGAACTGAAACTCGAGGCGATATTCTGTTCATTTTCAGATGGATTTCGTATTGTGTCATTGGTATTGTTTTCATTTGAAGTTATTTCATTTTGATTCTCAATATTACTCCCACTAAACAATTTTTGGGGATAAATTCGTGTATATATTGATGGTCGAATGCGAGATTGCAGTTGTGTGTTGTTTCAGTCAAATTTAGCGTCACAATGGAATGAAAAAAGAGACAAAAACAGTTATGCATAAAAATTCCTATGAATGGAAATAAATATGTTAATTAAAGCAGCTTTAAAATCTACTGTAAGAGATTTACCCAATTTCTATCATTAACTGTGCGCTACACTCGAAGTAAATTTATTTATTTATAACAATGAATCAACACCAATAATAATTGTAATCAATTAGTTGGTAAAATTATACTTACCAGGGAATACTTTATACGTAATATCTCAGATATTATGTACAAATCAAAGCCACAAAATACAAGCTATTTTAATAACTATTTTTGTTAACATGTTTTCTTTTCTTCAATTGATTGATGCTGGTTGATTATTATTGATTGTTTACCTGGAACGGAACAACATTTGCGTACCGCTGTTTTTTTACGATATAGCGGTCTTTGTGGTTGTGGTGGTCTCACAAACGAATTTATCAATGTTAAATCGAAAATGAAACAAAGGCTGAAAAATAAATTACTACAGAAAATTGTACCTTTGTAACAAAGTCTCGATGCCAAACAATGGTAAATGGCCAGTTTTTTCAATAGTACATTTTGGGTGTCGCTAATCGCTCTGGTTTAAAATCGTTTGGTAGATTTGCCTGATTTACTATACCTCTGTTTTGAAAATGTCGTGTTCCCGGGCAGCGTTTGATCTTCTTCTTACCGATTGACGAATTGGCTGGCAAGTCCGCGTCTCCGATGGTAAACAGCGATGGCTTATTCTTTGCAAATGATTTTGCTAACCAATCGGTTTCATGCTGTGAGTTGATCTACTCGTTCAACGATAGCCGGGCATATCGTCGCCTAGCATATGCCTCCAATCCATCCTCCATCTATTTCAATCGATGATCGAGATAATATATCCAGCCGTTTCCGCGCGGTGATGGTATTGATAGATAGTTTTTCTCGCGATCGGACTGTTTCATCTTCGTGAATGTTGGAGTCATGCGCTTTTTTGTCTCGAACCTTGTCGGGCACCCCAATTATTATATATTGCTTTGCTGATAACAATACATTGAATTCAGAAAATTATGAAACTTTATTTAAAAAATTATTTAATTAACTCATTCCGACACATTGAATTTCCGACAAAATCCAGCATAGTATGTGTTCACGCCGGGATCATATGGTTTGATAAACGTGTAATCACCAGCTTCAAGTTTTTTTTTGAAGTATTGAATTCTCAGTTGTAATTTCGTATGATGATGCGTCAGACGCTCCGAAAGCAAGTAGTTGGATTGTAAATTCGAAAGAATTTAATATAGTAAAATCAATATAAGGCGAAGAACAACAACATCTAATTCCTCCATCATGTTTGCCACCGAATTTTTCCGGAATCACTTTCCATCGAGCTAAAAAATCGCTATAATCAAATCTGATGCGTTTGAGTTTATTATTACATAGCGGTACACTGTAAAATTGTGAATCTTTGGCGGCAGTGGTTGCGTCGGTTTTTCGTACAACAATGGATTTTTTTGTGTCGAAGCCATTAAGTGACGAGATGGCCACTCAAATTCGTTGATAGTCAATTCCTCGACCATTTCTTTAAACTCGTCTGGCATTTGATTTGTAAGGCCACCATCAGTGTGTACCACAGCGGTGAAAATTTGACGAATTTCATGTTTTCCAGCAGTTTTCATAAAATAAACGAGATCAGCGATATCAAACACCTCGTTGACTTTATACAGCAATAAGAATGACGCCAGATACGATATTTTTCTTGCTCTCAAGCATTTGTCATAAAAGTGATCGACGAGGTACTCTGCATATTTATCTCTGAATATTGAGTTGGCTGATAATTTTCTTGTTCGTATTTCGAAATGTTCTTCCTTTTTTGCCTTTTCTTCTTGTTTGCTTTTTTTCTTGGAACACAGCCAAAAGTTTTAGACCCTCGCCGTTTTTCCATTGAGATTCTAATGAAAATGAAGAAAAAATCCATTTTTATTTTATACTCAACAACACTGTTACAATCACCGGAAAAACCCGGCATCAAAATGCTGTACCAAATGCAATCGATTGTCAATTGTATTCAAGAAATTTATCGACAAAAACAAACGGAGCAATAATTAATATGATTTTCATTCGATTGTGAAATTCATACAACAAACAATTGATCATAAAAAAAATCTAGAAAAATTCCTGATTTTTGAGTACTTACCAAAATCACTGTAGTTGTCACAGCTCTTTTGAGCGGAATTTTTTTTCAAGAAATGTAAATGTTAGCTGCAATTGACTGCTACAAATTGAATACAAGTCTAATGAGAGAAAAAAACGATCAAAGTTGTTGATATACAAAACACAGTTATGCACTGAAACAAAATGACAACCACAATAAGTTCTTGTGAAGTGACTTACTGTTTCATTCGATGCCAATATTTTGTGTCGTCAGCTCACTGTAAAAACTGTCAACTAATAATAGCCAATACCAACCAAAATATTTCCACGCAATCCAAGTTGATTTTATTATGAAGACTCAGTCGTATATATTTAAAAAAATGTGATAACATGTCAATTTGCGTAATGGACTTACCGACTATGATGTTATGTTACATATACACAAAATTAAAAGAAAATTTTATATTTTTTTTACATCAATATTGATGTTGACTCATATGCAAATATTCTAATATTATTCAATAAAAATAAATTAATTAGGGTTTGGCGCACAGTTAAATATCACCTGAATTTCGTCCTAATTCGACGATGGAAGTGGGTGAAACTTTGTTCAATTTCACCTCCAAATTGGGTAAAAGCGTTTCAACGTTAAAATGAATAAAAACGTTACTAACTTGTTTGTTGGAATTTCATTTTGATAATTCTCAATATTATTGGCAATAAAATGAGCATTGTTCAATACGTGTATATCAGCGTCTTCAGCATCATTAGGAGGCACGTTGTTTTCCATATTGTTATTCATATTATTTTCATCAACGTTCGCAAATGGAACGTTTAGATTGATTTGATTGTGGTCGTTATTATTTAAAAGTGGTATTACATTATTATTGTTATCTAGGTCGTTATCAAATAAAACATCCATTTTTCTGGAATCAACCCAAAAATGACTTGTTTTCTTGTTCACGAATTAGACTGGTCATCGAAGATTTTTCTCCTATACACCAATTGAAAATATAGTTCAAATTATCTGTGCAAAAAAGAACGAAAAAGTGATTTAAAATGATTTATTTGATTTTTTATTTATCGATTTTATCAATTATTATTGATTTATAACTCGTTACCATGTATTCAATTTTTTTATATTCATGCAATTTTATTCCGAGTCAAAAAAATTAAATATTCCTTCAAACATAATAATGAAATAATTGAACACTAAACGTTATTATAGAATTTGAAAATGAACAGTTCTAATTTTTGTAACTTTAGAATGAACAAATAATGTTTTAAGCAGGAAAATATGTTTAATCGTGCATTGCAAAATATAAGAATATGTTCCACAGAGTATATATTGTATAAATTTCATTAAAGTATTTAAATAACGCGCGTAAGATATGTAATAATAATAATATCTTTGTGTAATATCATCGTATCACAACTAAGATTTCAGCTTTGGATTTTTTTAGATCAGATTCATTTTTTGTTTTCTTTTGAAAGTGCCAACATGTCTTTCATTTTTTCACGTAAGTAATTATTGATATCAATGCTAAAAGTAACTATTGATCTACACACGAATTCAAGACCTGAGTTGAATAAATTCTTTTAATTTATTCTTTTCAGCACTATTGCAATTTCTACCAACCAACAACTATTTAATCTATACCTTTTTGGTGTTCAGTTCTTGTATATGTGGTAGTTGTATTAATTTTCTCTCTACTTAATTTTTTTCACCGACTAGTTCATTGGATTCACGGCTTTATTGGCTTATTGAAAGTTTACACAGTCTACTTCGAATAATAGATTTGAGAGACTAATTTTAGGAACAAACTTCACACTTTTCATACTCGAATGTGATGATTTATTTGTTGGTTACGTATGGGGGTCGTATACACATATACACGCACACACAAATAAAGACTAATTTCGAAAAAATGCACAAAGCGAAACATATACAAATTGTGTTTGCAAAATAATCATACATCAATTGAACGAACCCCATTAAATAGAGCCAGGAACTTACCCTTCTTTTTCATTGTAAAACTTGTAGGACAGTTGATACCTTCCAAGCTTCCATTAACGCGGTTAACATACAAAAAATAATAATAATGCAATGCATGAAAGGAGTTGGTGATTTTTCTTCATATGAAGTGAGTCTACTGTCAAACGTCAATATATTATCGAACCCTTCTATGCAATGTACAGTGGCGCCACTTTTTGGTACTAAGTAATTCCATAGAAGGGTTCGATAAAATATTGACATTTGACAGCAGACTCACTTTTTCACGAAGTTCTTTATATTCGAATAAATCAAAGCATTATAAAGCTTCTAATTGTGAAAATTAATGTAATTTCTGAAATTCGCTTGCAATATTGCTTTATATTCCTCAAATTGTATTTTTTAGAATGATTTTAAAGAATATTCTATATTACTTTTTCTTATTTCTCTGATTTAAAAGTACTGCATTTGAAAAAAAATGGACTTCTACTCAAAATTCGAAGTCAAGTTTTAACATTTTTAAAATACGATTTGAGGTACACGACATTTTTGTGCCCACAGCTGCCCAAAGAGCTCGGGCCTCTGATTCGTGTTACCAACGTGTGAAATGCACTTGAACTTGAAGGACTCCCATTTGGTTGACAAAAAAACTACAAAATTGTAAATACTATGCACTACTAAACAGATTTTTTACGGTTTCATATTCAATAAAAATATTTCCAGCTGATTAAAATCATTCATACATTTTCGTGTCATTCGTACATTTTTGTAGCTTAAATGTACATCTCGTCAATTTGAAGTACTTATCGAATAAAATTGTTTAATCTAAGCATTACAACATCATTTAGTTTTCAGAGAGCGATAAAAATAGCATATATGTTTCTGATTATTATTTAACCACGAATTTATTATATGAGTCCGCGCTTCTTTTTGTAGTCCTCTAAATTGAGTGATCGCTTTGGTGCAGAATCGTTTACTTTCGAAATGATTGGTTTCGGCAAAATATGGGTTGTTGACGTATCTAAAAAAGAAAAAATTGTAAAAACTAAGTGAAATAAATTGGTACAATTTGCATACATACTTGGCATTGTAACCTCAAGATCGATTTCGAAATCGTGCAAGGAATAAAGGTTGTTATCAGCTGGTCCCAATTGTTTTTTTTCATCTTCCTCTTTTTTGTTTGATCGGCTTGGTGGGGGTGGTACTGGTTGCATTAGCATTGCTTCTTCCTCAGCAGTGCGTTGCTTAAATTTCATTGTTGGTTTAGTCGAACGACGTGTGAATGGATCATCAATTTTCATGCCTTTGTTGGCCTTCAATTCTTCTTTAATTGCTTTTTCTGCTTCCTCAACATTTCTTTTCCGATTTCGGTCATTAATGTAAGAAATCAAGCTAATACTACTAGAACGTTTCTTATCAAGTTCGCTTGCTCGTTCTTCTAGTTCTTCTATTTGTATAGTTAAATCTCGAGCTAAATCGTCTTCACCTCGTAATACAGCTGCATATCGTTCTTTCATGAGACAAGTTTTTTTCATTGCATAATTCGTAGGATGCTTTCGGAAACGATTCTTTTCTTCGATGATTTTTTGTACATCCTCATCCTTGAACTCGTAAACCAAAGCTTCTTTTATTTCTTGCATTTTGCGTTCAATTAGATCCACAGTTGGTATTTTAATATTGGCATTCATGCACACTTCCTTCCATTTATTAAATTCGGAATCCGAAAAATCTTGGTTTGAAATAAATTCCAAGCGGAAAACACGATCTGCAGATCCATGACGTAGTCGTAAGCCTTTATTTGTTCTATGTTTACCTAACGAGTATATTTTCGCAGTCTCTACAACGTCTATAATCTCAGCACACCTATAAACTGGTTGATTGTTCAAGTTATTATTTCCAATCGTCACACGTACAAAACAATTGGTCACGAGTCGATCAAAAAAAGGTAAAGTTATAAATCGTTCCATCTTATGCCGCGAAATACGTAGCTTGTTTAACTCATCTTTTGATGTTATATATGCAACTTTTTTGGCTACAATTAAAGATAATTTGTATATAAAAAACATTGAAAAAATACATTGAACTGTCTGAAATATACCAACTACTGCCTTCGCAGAATTTTCCTCCTCCGAATCACTCGATGAACGGCTACTACTGGATGATCGTTTCCCAGAACGTTTGTCCTCACTTTCACTTCCGCTGTCGTCCGAATAAATATCAGATGCTTTCAATTTTATTGACGTTTTTCCACCAGCAACACCTTAAATTATTTCGATCAAGATATAAAAATACAATATATTAATAATTAATAATAATAATATTTTCCTACCAGTTTCCAAATCTTCATTTCCTTCACGTTCTGCTTGCCTTTTGGCTTCTTCTTCTTCTCTTCTCTGTTTTCCTTCTCGTTTTGCTTTTAATGCAGCCATAGCATTACTTCTTTTATCGTCAGTTCGATTCATTTCAACATTCTTCTTTCGTTCTTTGGATCGTTCTTTAGGATCAAAGTATTCAGTTGCTGTTGAACTGGTTACTATTGAATCATCTTTATCATAGGAAGGTGATAATGACGATGCAACCGAACTTATGACGACAGCTTCCGTTACCTTTTCTATTATTCGTGGTAAACGATGAAAATAATAGTTAGTATAATTGTTTGAAATTAAGAAATTCCATATAAAAATTCTTAAAAACCTATAACAGTTTTGGCGTGTATAGATGCTTTTTCTTGTTCGCGGATTTTTCTCTTCTCTTCCTTTTTCTTTTTGTCTTTTGGTGCTTTCGACTTGTCTTTGGCACGTTCCGCTCGTTTTGCTTGTCTTAATTTTTGTTCTATTTCCCATCGTCGACGAAGAGCATCTCGCCTTTCACTTCGCTTAAAAATCTCCGTTTCACGTTCTTTTTCTGATAATGCATGAAGCCGAGCTTGATCTTCCTCATCACCCATAAGATTTTCGTCAAAACCATCATTAAACTCGGAGTTTGAACTGTCTGAGCTTTCATCTGAAGAAACTTGGCCTTCCTCCAATTCAGACTTTTCATCGTCATCAGATTCATTTTGAAGTTTTTCATTCGCTTCCTCATTCTTATTTTTCTTTTCCCCCTTTGAAAATATTACAAAATCAATGTCCAGAAATAATTAAAAAAATAAATAAATAAATAAATTACCCAGTCAGAATCAGAGTCGGATGCTGACATATGATGTTTATTCATTTTTCCTTTTTCGCTTGTGAAAGGTTTCTTCTTTTTTTTTGCCAAAGATAAAAGTTCCTGTGAATTGTCAGAACCAAATTATTTTGAGCGTTTTTATTAGTACGAAATTCTTCTGATAATTTTTTCAATATTTGAATGTTGTTCAAAATGAAAATTTTATTACCGATTCTAAGTCTGAGTCATTATTACTATCCGAATCGGAATCAATTAAAGGTTGGTTCTTCCGTTTTCCCATATTTAGAAATAGATTAAGAAGTGTTGGGCCCAAGTATTTCCGATCAACAACACACGTGAAAAGAAGAGAAAAAACTACAACAAATTTTATTGGGTAAATTTGGTGTGGTGACGAGTAGCAGATTTTTTGTTGTATATTTTACTAAAAAAAATTCAGTAAAACCTGATATTTTATCACTTTCAAACAAATACAAATGAGTTTATAATAATGTTTCTTTTTTATATACGAAAATCCGTATTAGAAATAGATTGCCTCTTTGGTTATAAATTCCAATAGATCAAATTGCGAAAATATTAATTGCTTAATAATAATAAAATAATTTGTAAAGTACGAATTAAATAAGAATGTACGATTTTCACGCTGAAGACTTTGATTTTCTATGAACAAATGCTGCCGTTTCAATGTCCATACTAAATATGTCAATGTATGTGTTATGACACTGAGGAAGACAAACAGTTTACGTAAGTGGAACTCACCCGAAATATTCAAACTTCAGAAGTAAAATATTTAATTAGAAGTAAAAAATACGAATATTTTTTGACGATAACATACTTATGTGTCTTACACACATAAAAAAGTAGAAGATTTATAGTCCTTCTTATGCGCAAGACAATAACATTTTCACAAACTCTTACGTATCTAACAAATGTTGATGAGTGAAATAATATTTTTTTGGATACTTTTATTAATAGGCATGTAATGTTGTTTTAAATTCTTCTTTATTTTGAAGAAAAAAAGTTTACATCAGCATTATTAATTCTCAGTATATATGTAGCCATAAAGCACCGTAATATGAATAGAATTATTAAAAAATTCAATTGAAAAATAGGGTATGTTCAGGGCGTACATACATATAAACATTCAAGAGAAAACATAAATAGCGCGCGCTAACACATCACAATAAAAACAAAGCGAGCAAGTACGCACAAGATATTGAATTCAACAAAGTTATCATGGCGTCATAATCGTCGAGTCGTTTGCAGTGTTGTTTATGGTTGAACGAAAAAAAAAGTAATTTTTACCTGCTAAATAGGTGTGTTAATCTGGAAATTAACCTGTGTCTATGTTTAATTTTATCAAATAATTTAAAAAATAAATCAATGTGAAACAAAGCGAATATTAGAAAACAAAGAAATAAACCAACAATAAAGTTAAATAAAGAACCGAGTTTTTGTGCTTATATATGTATTTTTTAAATAGGTACGGCTTTTATAAATACGCGAAAAATTGATGTGAGTTATTCCAAATATATTATTTGAATCAAAACGTGTAATTTAATAACTTCAAAAAGAATTAAAGTAAACTTATTTGTAAATTTATATAATTAAAAAAATATATATATTGTAGAAAATGTTAAATGAATATTTAAATTTAACTTATAAAATATATTTCCATTCCATAGTCACAGTCTTGAGGATATTTTCAATGACAAAATAAATAAAGTATCAAGTGGTGGTGCATTGGTAAAACCAGATGCAACAATTTACTTTTGTAAATACTAACATGAGTGATTGCGAAAATCCTAAAATGGAACTCTTAAAGACACATATCGTGAAAACTCAATAATAACAATAGTGAAGGAATAAAAGACATAATAGAAACTTGTAGTTCACACTAAACAAGTTGCTGACTCTTATGTGAAATTTAAAGTACATATATTCAATTGAATCCAAAATATTTCGAAGTAATAAAAATAAAAATAATAATAAAAGTGATAAATCAACACGGACAATAAGACGTTGAAAATCTTGAAAAATGTTGGGTGAGCTAGATTTTATACTTTAATTTTTGTAAAAAAGTTAATTGGCCGAAATGGGTTAGTTAAAGTTAATTGTCTTTTTTTCCATGGATTTCATAGGTTTACAGCAATGTGTTAGTAATAAAAATGGGACAGCAATCTCAAATACCGTGCTGCATAGAGATTGTCGAGCTATATCGGGATCGACAACATCCAATGGTGATTATTTCATTATCATTTGCGTATATCTTAAATTTAAAAACATTTTTCAGTTTTTCCAGACGGTGGCCAAAGCAGTCCAGCGACACTTGCAGGGCCTCCCGGATCAAATACACCGCAATATACTGCTTCGCCTGCACCTTCTGGATCATCGACACCTGGACCCACACCCCAGGGAACAAATTTTCCTGGTGCACCCCCTAATTCAACAACGCCCCAGTATAATGGACCGAATCAAACTGGACCATTTGGTTCACCAGGTGAATTACGATAAATATGAAATTATTGCTTTTCCAGCCTAATGTCGATTTTATCCAAATTTGTATTATTCATAGTTTATCACTCTTACTTCAAAAATACTTTCTATCCATTCAAAAAACTAAATATTTATAGTTGATATATCTCGTTTTTTATTTCAATTTTTATGTAAAAAGTAAGATTTCTTTGAATTCATAACTTGAAAATATTTGAATCACTTCCTATGAGAACCAATAAACAATTGCAGTGACCGGTTCGCGCATATTTCTATGCCTGATAGCTATGCTAAGCATAGCGGAGACGCAAGCCGCAACTCACCCGTCGCCATTCGATTTGAGCTATATTGTATGCGCACGGTCGTCTGCATAAACGAACATGTGCATTGTTCATATAGAGTGAACGGCGATGCGTCGGTTGCGTTTGCGGCTATGCTTGGCATATCTATGCTACCTAGCGTATTTAGGCAAGCATAGAAATATGCGCGAACCGGTCACTGAACAATTGTCAAAGTAAATACATCAATTGCCGTGCATATGGTCATCGTAGAATTTGGTCCAATGGTGGTAAACTCTATCTATACTCAGAACTCACCTACGGCTATAATATTAATTTCATATAATGTTTAAATTCAATGCAGTTTTTTGTCAGTGTCATTGTTTGCATTCGATGTTTGAGTTTTGATGAAAAAATGAGTCCAAAAAAACACATTTCAAAATATTATCTCAACTCATGATGTTTTACGAACGTTGTGACGCGTTCTAGCTAACCACGTGAATGCGCATTTTTGTTGCGTAAATACTTTGGCATTTCTGATGTAGATGAATCATTGACCATTGTTATTTTGATTTCGTGATTGGTTTCGTATTTCTGATGTGACTTTGATAAAAAAATAAATCATTCCCCAAATTTTCATCACTTGGCCATTCGAACTGATCTCCTTGATTGAATTTTTCTACCAAATACGAAACACTTGCGGTATGTTTTTGGCCAATTCCGCATTGAAACATTCAATTCATTATCGAGGGATTCATCCATCTTGAAAAATAAAAGTGACGGTAATGAGGCAACTTGTGCTCTTACAATATTTGAGTAGAATTATTTCAAAGAAATTATTTTCATCATCGGCAATCGTCCTTGTCATATGTTATCTCTTTTCCTTTTCATTCATTCTTGAATAACTGAAACAAATAAATGAAGATAAAAAATTAATAATAATGACTGCATCGTACAGCGAAAATATAGCTAAATTAAAAAAAATAGTGAAAATATAGCTAAAAACTGTCTCTATTTCATACGGCTACTGTGTCGTCCTCACTTAACATTTCCAGGACATATACATTGAAAAAGTTTTGAATGATACTAATTGTGACTTAAAAATGTCAAGTAAGAGTCCTTTGGTCCAACACATAACTAAGGTTTTCTGATAAAAGGCTTTATATAGTTTCTTCTTTATCTTAACAGAAGTTTTTTATTTTATTTACCTTTTTTTTTAATTCAATGATTTTTTACAGTAGATCCATTGAGATCAACGAATGCTCCACCTTTTGGTAGACCAAATAGTTCTGGACCATCATTTGGATCACCACACTTTGCTTCACCATCTGGTAATATTCTCATCCTTTTAAGAAGAATTGATTTAAACATAAATGTATACATTGTTATTACTTGTCTGTCTATTCGACTATAGATAATAACATTTTTTTAAATACTTTTCGTTTGAATTTATTAAGGTGCATTTCAATTTGGAAATAATTCAATGGCCCCTTTTCCTCATAATCCAATGGCTCAAATTGGAGGTCATATGATGGCTGGACCACAGCCAATCGATAGAATGGAACAAGGGTACGTTTTCTGAGACTTTTATAGAAAAGGTTTCTTAGCTCAATACAGTTAAAGTTTAAAAGGGTTAATTTATCCAAAGAAGAGTAAAAAATCAAACTTCTTAAATAATAATTACTTTATTTTGTAGAGCCTTACAGAGCGTACCTAGGAGACATAATACGTTTTATAATTCTACAGAATTCAGAGTACACGAGCTTAATAAACGTTTACAACAACGCACCGAGGTATGAATGAATTCATTATACAGCGATAATAATGTGAAAAAGAACAGATCATTTATTTCTAAAATATACCTTATCACTTTTAGGAGAGTGATAATTGTTGGTGGGACGCTTTTGCGACGGAATTTTTCGAAGATGACGCATCATTAACATTAACTTTTTGTTTAGAAGATGGACCCAAACGATACAGTAATCTAATAATATTTACTTTAATAAATAATTACATTATTAACTTGACTAATTTTCAATGTTAAAGCTATTGGAAGGACATTGATTCCACGATATTTCCGAAGCATATTTGATGGTGGCGTATCCGAATTGTACTTCCATTTGAAATTGGCCAAGGAATCATTTCATAATCCAACAATAACATTAGACTGTGATCAATGTACGATTGTAACACACCATGCAGTAAAGCCAATGTTTACAAAGGTATTTAAGAAAATTTGAATTATTTCAAGAAAATTGAATTTGAACTGAAGTTCTTTCTTTAAAATATATAGGTATGCACTGAGGGCCGACTCTCACTGGAATTTGTGTATGATGATTATATGCGTATTAAATCTTGGCATATGGCTGTGCGAAATCATCGGGAATTGATACCAAAATCAATAATTGGAATGCATGCGCATTCACCTCAACCTGATCCAAATATGTTGGATCAAATGTCCAAAAACATTACTCGACAGGGTATCACAAGTTCAACATTAAATTATCTTCGCGTGAGTAGATTCTCTCGTATTCTCGTATAGCAGTCCTTTGAAATACGTGTCAAATGCAATAAGAACTAAACTTTTAATTGCACCAATAATACATTAAACCACTAATATAGACCAGATAAGTCTGGCAAGCGTATGCTATATTTTGCCATTACGTATGTTTTTCATGTATTTCGAATGACAATTATTTTTATTCATTTGTTCTTTCCTCTAAAATTTGGCTTTTGGAGATTTTTAAGATCCCCCATATGAATTTTAAATTTATGAATTTAAGTGTCATCAAATAATTTATTTCATTTTTTTTTCTTTTTTACAACGGATTCATTTCGAAATTTGTTATATAAAGCTATGTGTTATACTTGAGCCAATGCAAGAACTCATGTCCAGGCACAAGGCTTATTCACTGAATCCAAGAGACTGTCTTAAGACTACTTTGTTTCAAAAATGGCAGCGGATGGTCGCTCCGCCTGGTAAGCGAGGTACTTTTTAACAAACAAATTTGAGTTAATATTTATATTTATTGTGTGATTTCATTAATCATTCGATTACTTTTCTTGATGAAAAAAGACAATTTATCATACAATGATTTTTGGGTAGGATATATCCGTAAGATCTTCGCAAGATCCGGATCGAAGCGTGCATACTCTGCCGCATGATGCAAACATATATAATACGCACGCAAATTCGTTATTCTTATTTCGCCTACTTTAATTCGGATGCCATAGCATTACGGAATAACGAATATATGTATCATGCGGCTACGTACACACGCTCGGATCCAAATCTTCCGGAGATCTTACGAATCTATCCTATCCTAAAATCATTGTATGCAATTTATATGAGATCCAATTGAAATCAAGTGATTTGATTAATATTCATTTTTTATAGATGCACAAAGACCACCAAATAAACGCCGCAAAAGAAAAGGTTCGAATTCTGGAAGTGGCGCCAGTAGTGCTCCACCTGTTCCAAACAAGAAGCGATCTCCTGGACCAAATTTCAGTTTGGCATCTCAGGTAGTTGTTTTATTTTCAAAAATTTGTCAGTTTTCAATGGAGAAATAATTTTAACAATACAATAAAATTCCTAATATTGATTGTTTTGATCTTCTTCGTACATACGAATACATATAATATTCAATCGAAGATTATGTCAGCAGTTTTGCATTCTTAATTATGAATCGTTTCTGATAATAACCATAAAAACTATCCTTCAATCTATGAGTTTCGTTTAAAAATTAACTATATTAAAAAAAAAATCTCGATTAATGCATTTTTTAAACGAAAATCTGAAAAGCTGACATATAGGACATGAAACTTTGCACTGGTTTTTTTCTTCACAAAAAATAACATTCTGAAAGTTTAAAGAAATTTAAAAAAAAAATCACGGATTTAAAAAAAAGAAAAATATGTCTTTTACTTATTGATATATTTGCTGTATTCTTCATAGGATGTAATGGTGGTAGGAGAACCATCACTCATGGGAGGGGAGTTTGGAGATGAAGATGAACGTCTAATAACTCGTTTGGAAAATACGCAATATGACTCAACTAATTCAATGGATCATGATAATCATGGTGGATTCGGTCATGCAGACTCGCCCATTACTGGTGGCCCAAACACATGGAATGTGGATCGTAAGATAAAATAAATACGTTCAATAACTAATAACTAATTTGCTATAAATACATTTGTTTTCATATTAAGAGAGAGGTCCGCAAGGAACAACACCGTCCAGTCAAGATTCTGAGAAAAAAAGTCCAGCTGTATCGCAGTGACATAATAAATTTTGTCAAGAAAATGCTGAATTTTAATTTCTTCATGATCGTGTTTTATAAACAAAGATATGTTTGTTATTTTTACTCATTATAATAGTTTCATTGACGCATACAGATTAATATGGAAACAGCTAAAAAATTTAATCTTTCTTCTATTTACAATTTTAACTTAAAATGTATACATTTAATTACAATTAAATTCGAATGCTTATAACTTAAAAACATAATTTGCAAAATGCACCATATCGGTAACAAATGTGGTATTTTATCTTTTTCAAAACTTCACGTTTTTCACTTTTATATCTAGGGGGCAGACACGTGGAATTAGATTAGACTTTTAGTGTAAAGATTCGAGAAATTGCAATGAAAAAGCAAAGCCTGTGAATGGATTTGCGTGGAATAGCGAGACAGTGCATAGAATAGCAAAAATTGTTTCACTTCAAATCCATTTGACATTTCTTTGGACGTTTATTGATGAATTACAGGGTGCGCCATAATAACTGTCCCTTTTTTTCAATCGTTTGTTTTAATACTCAAATGTCTTGCGATTCACTCTGTCGTTTACCGTTATGTTTATTGGTGTTTACTCTAACTCTAACGATACTGCGCATTTATGTACACGTACAGTGTTTGTTTAGCTTGCAATAAGAATGGATGTAAAACGTCAACTGGTACCAAATTTGCACAAACGGGGCTTGAGACAAATTGATATTTTCCGACAGCTACAAAATGAAAATATCAACTTGAAATTTGTAAAGCGCACAATAAAACTATACAAAAAACGGGGCAGCGTTGATATATTGAAGAAAACTGGACGAAAAAGATCTGTTCGTACCAAAAATCTCATCAAACGTGTGAGAGAGAAAATTCGCCGAGAACCTCGAAGAAGTGGACGAAAGTTGGCTCATGAGCACAAAATCAGTGAAACTTCAATGCGACGAGTTTTGGCAGAAGACCTGAAAATGAATCCATTCAAAAAATGACGACGACATGGTCTCACAATCAAAAATAAACAAGCCAGAAAGCAAAGATGCAAAGAGTTGTTGCGCCGGCACGCAAACTCGAACATTGTTTTTTCAGATGAAAAGTTGTTCCTTTTACAGCCAAGCCTCAATTCGCAAAATGATCGTGTGTACGCAACATCAATCCTTGATATTCCCAAAGATAAAAAAAACCATCGAACGATTTCAAAATGTTCCACAAATGATGGTTTGGGCAGCCATGTCGGCCGACCACAAATTTCCACTGGTTTTCGTCGAAGAAGGCGTAAAAATCAATGCCAGAGTATATATTCGAGAAATATTGCGTAAAAACTTATTGCCACAGTCTCAAAGACTATTCAGAGGTGAACCAAGGGTATTTCAACAAGATGGTGCACCCGCACATCGAGCAAATACGACACAAAAATGGCTACGCACGAATTTACCTGATTTCATTGACAGAGACTCATAGCCGCCATCGTCTCCTGACTTGAACCCGCTCGATTTTTTCGCTTGGGGATACATGTCGTCGAAGCTCAATGATCTGAAAATTACGAAACGAACCACTTTGGATGCATTCAAAAAGAAAATAATAAAATTTGGAACGAAATTCCCATGGATATGGTGCGTGCCGCGTGTCAATCGTTTTCGAAACGTTTGCGTTTGGTAATCCGAGAAAAGGGGGGAAGAATTAAAGTCAATGAATCATAATCTCTATACCTCATTCTTATATCGAATAAAATTATATCTCGATTTGATTCAAATTTCTGTGTTTTTTGGCTAGAAATAAAAGGGACAGTTATTATAGCGCACCCTGTAAACAATTAGTTTTGATTCAAACAAATTTCAAGTTAGATTTCAAAATATCTCACCTCAACGGCCGGTTCATCAGGTGTTTTGCGGATCATCCGGATGTTGCGACGCGTTATAGCCAACCACGTTTTTTCATTCGGATCGATGCCAATAACGTATTTCTTGCCTACAAGATTGTCCGCATGTGTGTGCACATTTTCATTGCAAGCCCGCTCTGGTTTTGTGTACAGTACCGATACGGAAACACTATTGGTCACGATTTGATGATGGAATTGTTTGGATCGTTTGCCCAATTGGTTGTATTTATCTACGTCGAACAATAAATTCCATAGTCCATCTCTATCATGATCTCTGTAGTATTTTTCAGGGTATTTATTTAGCCGGTTGGTATCTGTATTCAGGAATCTAGGCACCACTTTTAGCTTGCTTGCCAATTTGTTATATAAATCTCTCATATCCAATCGCACGCACTTCAAATGATAATCGCATAACGGTACAAGAGCAAAACTGTTTATTTTCCGTGGTCGATTGTTTGTTGGCTGTTGAAAGTTCGGATTGTTACGGAATATTTCATGAATGGTATTCCATTGTGCGGCATCACTGTGATAAGCTGCTATCTGACGTTGAATTTGTTCGAACAACCACAACGATTCAAACCAATGATCTTTTACAAAAAAATTTCATACAATTTTCGCGTCGCCATCCAATTGCGACCAGATCATCCAATAAAATGTTGGCCTTTTCTATTCTTTCCACATTACCATTCGTCAAGTCGTTGGATCGATATGCTAACATTTTGGCATTTCTGATGTCGATGCCATCAAATCTCGGACCATTGGTATTGTGATTGTAATATCAGCATCGCATTCGAAAGAATGACTCAAGTCGAACTTCACACCAAGTGGTGAGACCAGTTTTCGTATTTGCGATGTGCTGTTTGACAAAATAACGAAAACCATCCAACTTTTCGTTGCTTGGCCATTCGAACTGTTCATCACTGAAGTTTTCGACCATGAACCGAAACTCTGGCGGTATGGGATTTCGGCTATTATTATTGTAAACATTTTCGGCCAATACCGCATTGAAGCAATCGAAGAAGAACTGTCGACGATCCCGTCGCAAAAAGAACTGACGATCTTCATTATCGAGTGCTTCATTCACCTTGAATAAAATCAATAGTGAGGCCAATGAGGCAACTTCCGCGCTCAAACAATATTTGCGTCACAACTGCTGCATGCTCGGGTCGAAGTATTGTTTGCAATCCACATTTTATTGCAACGAAATTATTTTCTTCTTTTCTTTCGTCATCGTATACCGGCGAATCGTTGTTATCTCTTTTTCTTTTCATTCTCGAAGAACTGATACAAATAAACGAAAATAAATTTTTTTAGAAAAAATGCACCAAATATAGCATAGATCACAAACACAATAAGATAAAAGCACTTCTATCACAAATCAAATGAAACAGTAATCAAGAACGCATTATGAATATCACTTCTTACCTCAACAAATTGACTCTGTATTCTAAATCGAATGATAAAATTTATTTCCAATGTGACATCAAATATTTTCCCGATCGAAATGTTGTTGGAATATTCACAGTAAATTTTATCAACACTCTGTTATTTCAAAATTAAAACAAAAATGAACACAAAACCAATTGTGAATATATCCATTCCTCAGCGAACAGCGTTCCTAACACACAAAATCGTTGAAATTGAAATGACAATAAAATCAATTGATCGCCCAAACCACGCTACAGACACTCACATCTAATTATCAAGAAATCCTCTTAAAAACAAAACAAAGTTTTATTGTAAACAAAATCGGTTGGTGCGATTGTAGTTTCAAACTGATGGAAGTTGTTTATACTAACAATACTGTCACATGATGCGAGCACATTTTTAATACATATAAATGAACATCGTTGGATTTAGTTTGACACATATACACCGCGCCAATCGAAGAATCTCAGAAAGAACATCTCGAACATTGAAAATACTAATTCCACAAATAAAGAAAATTAAATGCAATAAATGACGTATAAAAAAAAAAGTTCTTCTGCAGAGTTTTAAATTATATTATGCAAATCTCTTTCCTAACAAATTGTTTATTTTTTTATTCGAGCGTAAGATTTGGATTTTCAATTTAAAACTTAATCCTAATCTTAATTTAATGTGTTCACATTATGTTGTCAAATGAAATATTATTGGAAGTGAAAGAAACAAGTGGATCCATTCCATTGGAATTCGTGGGAACTATGCATATAATCTGCGTTCCATTTGACACGAAAATGACCACCAGAATGGGCCAAAACGTTACATTTTTCAACGTTAGAATCTACTAAAAACATTACAAATTTGTTTTCTGGCTAGTCAGAAACGAGCAGAGCTGGAGCTTCGTATACACAGTTAGGAAATATTGATTAAATTTTATTTAGATACAAACTGTACAAAGGCAAAAACTTAACAGACAGTTTTCAACGAGTATCACTCGTTTTCATTCACGTACTCTCGATCTTAAAACCTTTTTTTTTTATCTAACCAATTCTGCCATGCTTATTTTTCTTTCGCTCGGTGTAGATTTAGATATGGCCAAAACGGGGGTAAATGGACAATTTTCAAACAAAAATATCAATGAGAGGATGTGAAGACTTCAAGTCTCTTTGAGCCGACGGTGGCGCACCGAATTTAAAAGGGGACGTCAATGTAATTTTACAACTCAAATCGAAACTAAACAGCGCGCCAATTTTAAAATTTGCTGTCATTTCCTCCCATTGAAAAATATGTTCCAAAAATGGAACGAATTCCCTTAATATAAAACTAAATAAAAGACTACACACAGACTAGTCACGTTTAGCGGAGTTATTTTAAGCCATCCAAAATGAAATAAACAGAAAAAAATCTCAGTAAACTGATTATAATGAAAGCTTTACACCAAAACTATTTAAAATGATAAAAATGAAGACGAAAAATAGACTCAGTTTTAAACTCAGACCAAGACAACAAATAGAAATATATAGAATGGCAGAAGGAATGCAATTTGAGTTCAAGTTTATTTTACACACTATATTGTACATAAGTGTTCCATGCCCACACGATTAATGGCAACGGTGAGATAGCTATTGGCGATAGCTGCATTATGTGCTTCAATTCCCCACAAAGGTTCACTCAATGCACCAACCTAAATGCCAGCCAAAACATTCAACGCATTTGAAACGATTACCAATTGATGAAAAATAGAAACGATTTATGTGAAACATACCGTTGCCGATGGATTGAAAACAGTCTCGGCC